CGCTATGATGGCGTAGTTTGGTCTGGGAGTGGTCTATGTTTTAGTATTAGAACTTTAGTCACTATCGTTTATGTCGTTACCAACATAGCCTCATACATAGGTTTGTATGATATCATACATTTCTCGTTGGTTCTCCAACGAAAGCCAGCAGCACGTGTCAATGTTGCGCTCGTTACATGCATACTGTCTTTTCAAAATAACTCTAGAATTAGGAAAAGATTGCACATTTGGGTTAAAATAACTAGGAAGTGCTGTAACCACATTACGTAAGTCACATAACAAATGAACCACCATTGACTTCCCTTCACACGGGGAACGCACAGCGTCCTCCTGGCTGAAAGATCGCTGGCTGTTGGTGCCGTCTTCTGGGCCTTTTTACACCCATTTTCTTTAGTTAAATTGAGGCCGGATCACTAGTGTAAGTGCCCATTAGGAAAGAGAACACAAAATAAAATACTTTTTACAGTTCATTTCATACTGTATATCTCAATTTGAAGTAGTATAACAATGCTTAAAAAGCAAAAACTGTTCCAATTGTTCATTTAAAATATTTGATTGCAGTTATTTTGCTTGCTGATTAATTAAGCTTTGTGGCTGGTGGGGCTTCTCCATTGACCCGACCTCCATTGATACCCATGAAACAATTAATTTCCAGGATCAGTTTTGAAAATACATTCAGCATGAGAATGTAAATTGGATGTCTGTTTCTTTTTCAAATTTTTTTTTCAATTACGTTTTTATTCAAACCACATTTCCTGTTGCAAATGTGTACGTACATGCACATTTTCTTGAAGACGTTATCAGGCCCAATGCAGAGTTATGTTATAATGTACAGTAAATATATCGAAGGGTTACAAAGACTGATTATGAATGGTATAAAAAATGGAGTTTGATATCATGACAATTTGAAAGGTTACACCTCTGACTTATAGATGATAACCTACCTACCTGCAGAATAACACCACATTGTATTATGTAGGTAGAGACAAAAACAGAGACATAGAAACACAGAGATAGAGCGAGAGAGAGGAGGGAAAGTAATGTTACACTGCAATGTTTGCATGGCGAGCCATGAAAAACACAGATGCTATTTTCATCTGGGCCTCTGCCTTTCTTTTTTATTCTCCTCTTGCCCCTTCCCTCCCTCCCTCTCTCTTTTATTCTCTTACTCTATCCCTCACTTTCCCCCCCTCCTTCATTCTTGGGAATGTCATTAAATTGTATTAAATAGCCTTTTGTCCAGGGGGCAAGGACCACCCGATATATGATAATACATTAAGGCCCCAGTGTAGCAGCCACTGAGCCGAGACCATCTTAAGAACAAGCACGGTGTGTGCCATTGTGTGTGTGTGTGTGTGTGTGTGTGTGTGTGTGTGTGTGCTAAGAAAAAAATGCAGGGAGAAAAAACAAAAAATCAAAAAATAAAACATGGAGGAAAAACAGGAGGATGAGGCGGGTTTGAGGGAGAGAAAGAGTGAGATATTAGGGGGAGGGAGGGAGAAGAGAAGGAGGTGGCTGCCTGCCTGCGCATGTGGCTCCCTAACAACTGTGACACATACTAATAGAAACATACCTAATAAATTACAAGCTTTCAGGGTCTGGCAAGCTGACATTTTCTCTGTGCGCGGGACAATTTCATATCTGCGGCGCGCAAAGTCGAGGGGGCTGCTGGACCAAATTGCATCACACGGAGATGCCAGAAGATTAGCATAAAAATTAACACTTATATTTCGGCTTATTGTCAACCCCACTCCTGCACCGGCTGCCTCGCAACAATCAATTCCTCTTAGAAATCTGATTAGATTCCATGACGCTTATTATCCCAGTCATGTCTGCCTGCCCCCTTCACTTGCACCTCCACCACACACACACACACACACACACACACACACATTATGGGCATAGTCAGAGCACTGGCTGTCATGACTGCCCAGACCGTTTGTTTAAAATGGAATTAGGGAGAAAATAAATCTACAGGTGTGGCATTTCTTTTGACAGACGATGCCTCATTGTGTTTAGCGTGTGTCTTTCACCTGCGTAGAAATCCAACCCGATATTATATCTTTTGCACGTCAAGTTCATTCAAACTCTCTTGAATGCTTTGTTGCAGTGATAGCTGGTGGACACAACCACAAATTATGAGCTAGTTATTATTCACAGCTTTCTTCAGATTTTTTTGTTTTTAGGTATTTAGATTATGATCTTACTCATTTGCCTCAGTCTTATTTATAATCAGAAGCCACCATGGTTTAATGTCTCTCCTTTCAAAATGAACTTCTCTGCATCTCATCCATCCTCAAGTACGCAGCCGTCACAAAT